CACCGAGCACGGGGTGGGGGCTTCCTGTGGCCTTGACTCGACTCCGGTGGCCGGCATGGAGGCAGCAGGGAGCGGGAGGGGCTGCAAAGGGAGAGAGGAGCCGCGTGGGACTTGAGCGTCCGGCTCCCACCGCCACCTCCCCAGTTAGAGCTCCACGGCTTATATGAGGCAGGTTCAGGTGAGTTCCCGCTGCGCATGAGCAGCCCCGGCGGTGCGAGGGGCCGGGGGGAGCCCCAGCCGTCGCCAGGCCGACAGCCCGGCTCCTTTGTTTTCGCTCCTGCGCAGGCTTCTTCCGCACCAGACGCGATTCTTTCCCACGCTCACCCCAGCTTACCCTGCTCAAGAATTCAGGAGGCCTGGGCTAGCCACCTGCGTGGAGCGGGGACCCAAGTCCCACGGCCGTGGTGTCCTGGAGGCGCTCTGCAGCCTGGCCCGGCTCACACCACGTGGAAGGCCCCAGGCCTGCCACCCGCCCTGCACCACCCCGGCCTCCCAGGGCCACACCTGCCGTGGGTGCCCCCCTCCCCCACCTGCTGTGGGTGCCCCCTCCCCCACCTGCCGTGGGTGCCCCCCTCCCCCACAGGGCACTTGTGGCTCCCCAGAGTCTCTCCGCTTTTGCCTCCGTGGGAAGGGGGCTTGGAAGGCTTTTCTTCTCTTTCTGTTTTGTGTTTTGCAAAGGCTGAAAGCAAGCTGCTCTGTGTCACAGGAACATATGACAGGAAGCGCAGCTCTCCACACACAGTTGCTCCCGGCTCAGACCCGGGAACGCAAAGTTTCCGGAAGTAAACACCAGCAGATCTGAGTCAGAAGCAGCAGATGGTGGGGCTGGGACGGCGAGCCAGCTCCTCGGAGGCGGGCGCGTCCCCCGCCAAGCAGAAGCAGAAGCCGCCTGAGTCACTCTCTGCAGGGCCGGGAAGCCCTGCCGCCCTCCTCCGACCTCAGGTGCCTCCCAGGAGCCCAGATGGAGTGGGGAGGCCTGTGGTGCTCACGTCAAGCCGCCAGCATCCCTCTCCTTCTTCCTCGTGGGTGGGAAATGGGCACACTCAGCTGACCGTGTCTTGTGCTCTGCTGGGCAGGGAGGTCGCCCTGCAGGGATGAGGTCGGGCCAAGGCTGTCCGGCTGCTCTCGCAGGCAGGCGTCTGGGGTGGGGTCGGGAGCTGCTGGGCTGGGGGCTGCAGGATGGGCCGAACTCCCAGAGCTACTCCCAGAGGGCGCGTTCTGCGTGTGGGGCCGCAGGACGGATGGCAGCCCAAGCCCGTGTCTGTCAAAGCAGCGCAGCTGTCTCAGAACCTCAGCTGCGTCGGAGGAGGCCCTGGGGGTTCAGGGTGCGTGGAGCCCTGGGCAGTGGGGGCTCCAGTGTCTGTGTTGGGGAGCGGGGAGCGGGTGCTGGGCTTCCACCTGCTTTTGAGGACTCAGGAGAAGCGGGGACAGTCTGACAGCATTTGCCCCTGGTAACCACACGTTAAACTTCAGTTGTACGCCGCAGACGGCAGAGCCAGCTGTGCCTCCTGAATCGAAGCTCCGTGTTTACGTAATGAGAAGTTCATGTTAGACCGATGAAGCATCAGGCGTCCACACCAAGGACCACGGACTGCTGTCTCCGTGGTTTTCCACTGGCAGCTGCTTCGATTGGCAGGGGACTGGCGGGCACGGCTGAGAGGGACTGGACCAGACCTCAGGAGCCCTCGGGGTGGGCCTGGCCCCGGCCCCAGACTTCCCGGGAGGCTGGAGCCTGCCACGTCCAGGTCCCACGTCAGGTGAAAACACCTGGAGTAACTTCGGATGAACCGGAAGCTCCTTCGCGATGGAGGAGGAGGAGGCTCGGCCTCTAGACAACACTGGAGTTTTCAGGTTCGCTTTGGTGGCAAGTGACAGAAAACGGATCTGAACTCACTTTGGCAAAAGGGGGACTTGCTGGAAGGGCCTCGTGGAATCCAGGGCCGGCACCCCCGGTGCAGCCGTAGGACCTGCAGGGGCCCCGAGCTCCCCAGTGCCGGCTCCGGTGAGCGTCTCCCTCCCCGGCAGCTCTGGGTCCCCATGCCCCTGAGATCTGTCACTGGAGTCTCTCCTCAGCCCCTGTCCTGGCGGGCTGGCTGTGCGCAGGCGTGTGATTCCACTTGGAGGTTGACCATTTGGCGGAGCAGGGGTGGGTGTTTCCCAAGGATGGGGTCTCTAAGGAAGAGGGTTCGAGGGCTGGCCAAGATGGCAGCACCTGCGGAAACCCAGTTCCCACCGTGCCCACATCCCTGGCTCTGGCACCCTGTGTTCAGGGAACCTGCCAAGACCCCCCCACTGTTGTCCGTGAGAGACCCCACCTTGGCCTGGAGGCGCTGCTGCCTCCCGGTGTGACGCTGGCTGAGCTGAAGGGTCCGTATGCCTTGGCCTAGATAGCCACAGCTCCTGTCCCCCAGGCAGGCTGAGCCCACAGTGCCAGGGCTTCCCCGTGGGCTCCGGTGGGGATGGGGGGCCCCACGGGCCTCCGCCAGGTGCACCCTTCCTCCCCACTCAGGCTGACAAGGCCCCGGCCGGGGGCCTCTGCCGAAGGAGGGAGAGGCCAGGCTCCCCGGGCTCCGGGGCCTGGAGCAAGCGGGCCTCCATCTCACCGCCCTGCACCTCCACTCACAGGGCCGTGGATCCCGAAGGTTCTGCTCCAGCCCCGAGAGCTAGGGTTCCTGTAACTGGCCACAGAAAGCCCCAAGCACGCCGCTGAGTATTGACCCGGGGGGTGGCGTCGTCAGCACGTGGAGGAAATGCCAGCTCGGGGCCGACACAGCGCTGATCTCGGCAACTGGATACAGAACTGTTTGCTCTCGGCATCAAAAGGCCACATCATCATCCAGCGCAGGCTATGTGGCTGGTTGGCCGGGGCAGGGCGCAGTCCCCGGTGGCCAAGCAGTCTCTGGGTGACCAGCCTCCTCCGCCATGTGGCTCTGTCCCCCTCTGACCCTCAGAATCCTCTTCACTCAGCCAGAGGCTGAGAGCAGGGCGTGAAGACAGGTGGGAACGATTCCTGAGTGCCAAGCCTGCAGGGACGCCCACGCCTGTCAGGGCCCAGCTCCACGGGACGGGAACGCGTCCTGCTATGTGCCCAAGTGGAACCGCAGAGGCCAGGCCTCCGCCCAGGCTGCCCGCTGCTCCTTCACGGCTGGGTTTGTGCTCCCTGCTGGGCTGACGCTGGGGCAGGAAGCCTCCTCAGCGGGACACCGTCTGCCCCTCCGCACCCTGGAGACTGCCGACCCCGCCCCCCGCCCCCAGCGCCCTCAGGTCATATTCTGAGCCCCGAGATCTGGGCGGCATGATGGAGGCTGTGGTGGCGGCGGAAAGTCCAGCCACACTCTTCATGAGACATTTGAGACAAGCTCCAAGGGGAAGCTGCTCCTACCGGCAAGCTAATGGACCAAGCGCGTCTCCGTGCAAAGGCGAGGTGCCGCCTCCACTTGGGCGTCTGCAGCGGCCCGGGTGGGGCAGGGAGGCTCAGCAGAACTTCACTTCAGGGCTAGAGCCACCTCCTGATTACACTTCGGGATTACCGCGTTCATCTCTGCTGGTGGAGTCCAGTCCCGGACCCTGTGCGTGGCCACCTCCCTTGGGGGAAGCCAGACCGAAAAGCCAGTTTTCCGCAGTCCCCGTCTGTGCGGACGGATGTCGAAGCGTGGGGGGATTAATCAGAACACTTGGGTGGGTCCAGCCCCGGCCGCCGGCTGGCCACGCCTTCTCACAGGTGTATGTCGGTTGCCCGATTTACCCCTTTTCTGCCCCCGACTCCTCCCTCCTTCTGAAAAGCACCGGGACCTTCGGTGAGGGATGTTGGCAGGAGAGGAGTTTCAAACCCGTCCACAGAAAAGCGGCTTCTTCCAGGCTGGGGGAGAATGTGCCAGCCGGCTGCTTGCAGCGTCTCTTGCCAGAAGCCCGGAGTGAGCACTCAGGCCTTGAAGGAAGGGGGGGTGGGCGCGGGTGGGATTGGGGCTCCGTCAGAGCCTCCTGAGCCACCATCACCTCGGTGGGGCCGGGCTCAGGGCCCCTGCTGGCCGGATTCCTTGAAGTGGAGGCACTGTGCCCGCTGTGAGCCGTGCCCAGCCTGGGACGCCAGCGTGCTCAGCGGATGTTCCTCTAACGTGTGGAAGGCGGGTTGTCCGTGGGGTTCTCAGAAGAGGGGTCCTGCAGATGGGGAGCATGCACGTTCCACGGGAAGGCCCAGCCCCCAGATGAATCCCTGGAAACCCAGAGAAGGCGCCAAGATTCCACTGCTCCCCGTTTCCCCAGAGTTGCAGAAACGCAACACAGCGGCAAGGTCCCACGGGACCAGGACGCGGGGCTATTATTGCATGAAAGCAAAGCCCCGTGCCTGACTGTGTGCCCAGGCTGGAGGGCAGTGGCTTCTCACCAGCACCTCACTGCAGCCGCCACCTCCCGGGCTCCAGCTATCCTCCGCCTCAGCCTCTCCCCAAGTAGCTGGGGCCACAGGTGCCACCATGCCACCTTTCTGTTTGTTTTTCTTTTTAGGAGCATGAGACAGGCTCCGGCCGTGGTCTCTCCCCTTGTGCTCCTGCAGCCAGCCCCTTCCTGGGGTTT